TGGATTATGGCCTGAGATTATGGCTGAATTTTGTGTTAGTCGATCGTTAGTTGTATCGGTGTTGACGTATGAGGTTTTATCAGTGGACGGGAGTAGAGCGAACACGATATGATATCGTTGTTTTTGAGTTGAATTGGATGGAGATTTGTATGGTTGAATTGATGAACTGAAGAGTCGGTAAACTATCGCAATTTGTTGTTTATGAGTTGTTGCAGAAATGAATTTGTAATGCAATAAAGGGTTTCACAATATGCCCGATGGTTTTGTGAATTTTCTTTTTGTGATCGTGTGCAGAGAATGAATGTGCATGCGACATTCTGTTTATGTTATCATAAGCCGGTGGGCACATTGACTGATAATGACATAAGCAGAATGTCGTGATGACTTTGAATGGAGCTTGAGTATGGCTATGCTTTAGGCTGGAACCTGAGGTTGCACGTGTACACTGCAAGGAGTACGAAAGAATATTATGGATGATGGTTGTGTGGAGCGTTGCGATCCACTGAGAATTTGGTTAGTAATGGGATTGACTTTTTAAAATAACAATAATAATGATAATATTAATGAAGTGGTTTACCAGTGCCATTAATGTCCGAACAGTGAACAACAACAGTGAACAATTGTGTCTGAAGACAATATCAAAAATATTTGCAGTCTAGTATCGGACTTCTTCTGTCCGAATACAGGTGGCGTGGAGACGCACATATATTTTTTGGCTGATTGCTTGCTGAAGTTGGGACATAAGGTGATCATTATCACTCATGCTTATGGGCAGCGGAAGGGTGTTAGGTACCTCTCGAACGGGTTGAAGGTGTTTTTTATTATTCATATTATTTATTATTGTTTTTATTATTTACATTACTTATTATTATTTTTATTATTTACTATTATTTATAGTATTTATTATTGTTATTCAATATTATTAATTGTGTTATTGAGGTGTACTATTTGCCATTCGTAGTCGCATATAACGGCTGCAGTTTGGCCTCGATCACGGGCTCGTTATATTGGTTCAGAAAGATATTTATACGTGAAAGAATTCAGCTGGTGCATGGACATTCGGTGCGTTATTTATTTATTTATTTATTATTATTATTATTAATAAATTATTATTTATTATTTACTTTCATTATTTATTGTTATTATTATTTATTATCAGAAATTATTATTATTATTGTTACTATATTGGACATCGAGCGATCAGAAGGCTACGCTTAGATGAGGCTGAAGTTACGCTTAGGCTGAGGCCATGCGCAGTAGGCGTGGCCTGGGTTGTTGTACGCGAGCGTGCTCGCGTACGACCTACCCACGAAGTAAACAAGTGCCATGATAAGAATAAATAATAAAGAATATTGAAGACGTTCTCGTCAATGGCACACGAGAGCATGTTCCACGGCTGGAGTATGGGTCTGTCAACAGTGTTCACAGACCACTCTCTGTTCGGTTTTGCAGACGCATCGGCCATATTGACCAACAATTTGGTGTTACATTACTCGTTGGCCAATGTCGGACGGGTCATCTGTGTATCGTATACCAGGTTATTGCTATTTCATACATTCTCTTCATTAGCCTTGTTTTTTGGCACTTTTCCATTGCGAGGCCGTACGCGTCCCAAACCGCGCGCAGGCGGGTTAAGATGTGCGCGTTTCTCGAGAGGTGGCGCATTCCGCTGACAGAGTTGTGTGCACTAGGAAAGTACACTGACAGTTTGGCGCGGGCGTGTTGCGATGCGTACAACCTCTTAAGCGGTAGAAAATTCATTATAATTGTCCTTATAAAAGGGTTTGAATGCTGTACTATAATAATATTAGGCACTTGTTTATTATGGGGGACTTGCACGCGAGCACGCTCGCGT